ATAACATTTTTACAGTGTCCATTGTCATATACTGTTATTTGTAATTCATTGAAATATGTTTTAAAATTGTTCTTTCTATAACTTCTCTAACTTTGCTGATATCGTATAAAGTTATCAATAATTAATTATTGCTGAAATAATATTTAAATTGTAGACTTTAGATGGCCAATTGCTTACCTTATGTGTGTTTGTAGAATATTTTATTTATTTGATATGATTTTAATTAGATAATTTTTACGAAGCTATTTTGATTTATAATAGAAGAATGTAGAAAAAGCCAATTTATTATTTGAGTCAAATAAGAAAATATCAAATTTCGATTTACTTTAATATAAATTATTCGTATTGAGAAGTATTACCTAAAAATTGGACAAAATAGACGTAGATTATTATATACAATTTAATAATTTGAGTATATAAATTACAATGAAGTTTACATCTATTTCTATATATATTTAATACTTTAAATATATTTGCATGTACGCCAGACTGTGAAAAATTTAAGACATCACACTTTTTTATATAATTTATCATCTATAATGTATTCGTAATATTAATATTGTCTTTAAGAGTATTATTTTATACCGAATATTTTTTTACATTTGTTAATCAAAAAATATACGGTTAAAAAAATATATTTATTTGATAGGGAATATACATAATATGAACATACATGGAATTTTTTCCAACGAGTGTAAATAAGTAAAATTAAATAAAATTGCGAGTTTCTGCTGTTTAAAGTGCGATTAAGAATGAGGGACCAATGAATGAAATTAAGCAAGTTTGTTCATTATATAGGAAAAGCATTTGAAAAATGTATTATTGATAATGTTCAGATGTTAGAATTTTAAATTCTATCCTTTAGAACACTAATTAGTGTATTATGTATTAGTATATATAAGCGAGTAAAGAAAAAACTAAATTTTATTTTACTAAAACAATCTATCTAATTGAGATATTTTTATCTTTAATTATCCGACACATGTCGAAACTATTTATTAATGCATTTTTGCAATTTTTAAAATCATTTAATTATATCATTGTTGTAGAAATATTATTAAAAGTGCCAATGTTAGTACTTTTTCATATAAGAATACATCATGTATTTCGTTAAAATATCTAATTATCACACAAATTTATTATATAGTTACTTATTTCGCTGTCTTTCTTCCTCAATTTTATTTCAGCAATGTAGTGCATCATTATCATATAAATTGTACAACATAGATCCAATATTAATCTATACGAGTTATTTTTTACTTATAGCAAGATACAATTCTTGCCTATCAAAGTTTAATAATGCGTAAATGTGGATATTAAATATATTTTGATTTTGAAATGCTTTTAAATATTACAAAATATTATTAAATTATTTATTAATTATATTAACTATGCATTTTAAAATCATCTTATGCTTTTATTTCTTTATTACTATATCTATCTAGATTTAAAAAACTGTGGAGGGGAATATAAATGCTGAATATGTCATAAGCATATGAAACATAAAATAGATTAATAAAATAGATTAATAGATAAATCATAATAAAAAAAAATTAATTATGCATAAATCTTAAGTTTTCTTTTATAGATCTGTGTCTTTCAAATTCCTTATTATTTATAAATTAGAAAAAATATCCTTTTCTCTCATGAATAGCATAGTAGTATGCTCGAAAACAAAAGATTTTATGTAATTACTGTTACATTGTAAGTGTATATTTTATATTTTTTCTTATGACTTTACCATTGTGAAAATTTACAAATTTGAGTGGTAACAAGCAATAATGTATCTTTTAAGATATTTTATCAAGAATTTAAGATTTTAAAATATAAAATGGTTATGTAAAAATAAAAATAATTTGTGCACCTATTTGTAATAAATAATTGATATTTTATTCATAGGATGTGCATTTATTAAGATCTAGTATATTTTTATTCCTGTTTAATGGTTATACTATTACGTTAAAGTTTATTAATTATCTCTCTCTCATCAACTGCACAAAAGAACTACACATACGTAATTCTCTGGATAATATATATTGTAAACATCGTAAATTATTTTAAATGAATTATTTTAAATGAAAATTTTATCTGCAGTTACTTTTTTGCTGCTATTATACCTTCCAATTGAGTCTGAAAAAAAAATTATAATTGATTTATGTATATATAATACAATCATTGATTTATGTGATAATAATGTTTTATAATATGAATAATACTGTTTAATTCATAACGATTTAGTAAATTTATATAGAATAATCAAATTGAAAATACATTTTGCAAAGTATGTTTTGCAATTATATTATTTCATTTTATGCATTTAAAAATATTTATATTTTTGTAGCTCTCCATCTATATTTATGTTATTATAATTAATCTCTTCTAAACAATTAGATAAGAGACAATAATTAAAATACAAAAAATCTAAATACAAATATTTTGAAATGCTTAAAATACAGATATATATACAGAGCTACATAAATACAAATATTTAAGATATTGCAATACACGAATATCTATAACATAAATGCTCCCGTACTATCTCAAAATCGAATAAATATTTTTACCTTTAATTGCGTATTTGTTTTTTTAAGAAATTGCACTTCCTCCATATGTTTTTTTTCCTCCGCTTCCCTTAATTCAGCCGATCTTTTCTCAGATTGATCATACTTGAGTCGTAATTCCACAATTATTCTCTCCAGCTCAATTTTTTGTACTTTCAATTCCTCGGCTGTATTAATCAAATCTTCTTTGCCTTGCTCGGCCTGTAAAAATCTTTCATCAACGATTGTATATTTATGATAGTAAATTTTATAGACTGCAATAGTAAAATAGTAAAATAATTCTGTACGTGTCTTATATATAAACGCGAAAAAATGTGTATGATATTAGAAAGATAGGTACTTGCAATGCTTTACGCATCCCGAAAGCGATACTACTTTGATACAATGTCTGATACGCAGCTAATGTCATTTTGATTTCGTCCCGTACTCGCAATAAAAGTAATCCACGTTCGGCGCAGTTTATAGTTACTTGTCGTATTAATTCATCTGAGAAACATGTAATAATATACAATTTACTCAACCATATATTTCAATTTAGATATAAAAAAATTTAGATATACATGAGCATGTATATATGCACGTATATACCGAAACATTGTGTATAGAGCTGCCTACGAACAGGACAAATACCAGTTTCTCTGGCCTGCCTTTGTTGCAATCGCATATCAAGTTGCTCTTGTAAATTTATCACATCTAATCTCGTTGCAGGAGTACTTGATACCTAAATAATATATATATCGTACATTTATCGACTATTACACATTGTAGATTTGAAAAGGTAGCTTTAAGAATGTATTTAATTTTACACGCTGAGTCCATATCTGATCATCCTCCTCCCATTCTTTCGGCGGTAAAATTCTATTTAAAATTTCAGTGGTTTCTCGTCGTGCATCAGCTGGAGCTGAGGGTGTTGGAATTTTGCAAGCAGCTATACCAATTTTCGCTGGTTCCTTACGTACCTATTGTTTAATTAAAAAATGTTTATAGAAATCAATGCTTTAAACAGTCTAGCTGGAGCTTAAATGTTTGTATGATTCTATGTGAATATTTATATTTATATATTACACATGTAGTCTTTTAAAACGCGAGCTGAAAATGATTTTTCAATCTTGAAACGCTAACTCTATTAAACTACCGCAGTAATATCACGAGTTAAATTGACTAACAATTTAATAATTTGATGCTTTTTTGCATCTTTGAATGATTATTATAATACTAAGTGACATATCAAAATTTATAAATAATTAATTCTTATTGCGAAAAATATTACCTCGGCTGGGGGTCAAACTCGGATCTCTTGCTTTCCAGTTGAGCGTCCTAAGTTTTTAGACTACCGAGGATGTAATATGTCACTCAGCATTATTAAGATCAAATTGTTAAATTGCTAGTCAATTTAACTCGTGATATTATTGCAGTAGTTTAAAAGAGTCAGGGACTGCGCACAATAAAAAGAATAGGGAACAGAGAACAGAGAATAAGAATTTCAATCTATCAAAATTCATGTGTTGTGAAATACACAGTTTCTGATAGGTTGAAATTCTCTATTCCCTTTGTTTTTATTGTGCGGAGTCTCTTAATGTTTCAAGATCGAAAAATCAAATTTTCGCACATGTTTCAAAGGACTACATATACAGTAATATAAATTCATATAAAATCATACAAGCATTTAAGATCCAACTAAACCATTTAAGAACTGGAATTTAATTGCACATTTCGGCTGATTTTCAGTTTGATTCCTGCTCGTTATTTCATCAACTCGCGTGTAGTCCGTACCGATCAACATTTAGATTGCACGCAGATTGATGAAGTAAGAGGAAGGCTGAAAATCGGCCGAAATATGCAATCCCATTGTTAGAAATGTAACTGCGAGCTTCTTTTACATGTAAATGAAGCTTGTGAACGAAATTAAAAGTAATGAATGATTTAACTGAAAATTAAGTTACAGTAGTTATTTAAGTATGAAATAGTTATTAAAGTATGAATGAACGTGCACATTAAATTTATGAAATTTATAATGTACTTTTAATAAAATTTTATCAAAAGTACATTAAATTTCATAAATTTTCATGAAAAATACATTAAATTTTATGTACATGTACACAAATATACTTTTTAGATATAAATACATTAAATTTAATGTAATGTCTTGAAATTAAATTCAAATTGTGCAACTTAAAAGTTAATAAAATTTAAAAACATTTCTAACAATGCAGCTTTGGTTTAAGATATTGATTTCTAGTTTGTATTATCACACACACATACTATATTATTTTGTAAAAAATATTTAGTGAATAAAAATAAACAGATATTATGTATTTATTACTCCATATTTGCATATATACATGCAGCATTATTATTTTTTTTAAATCATAATTTATATAAAAACATAAAGATAAAAATTTGTCGTACCTTCTCTGGATGAGTCGTAACCGAAATTGGAATATCGTACTTGACCAGTGTGTCCATAGCAGGAAATCTACGTTCTTTGATTGTTGTCGCCATTTGCTTAAATAAAGGATTTACGCAGAACGTAATTATAAAGCGCTATTGTATTATTACACGTTGAATATTATTTATCGCGAGTTACACGAGTATACAAGTAATAACTTCCATTCGTAAAGTTGGTAGCTGAAAAAACGTCGTCATGGAAACATTGATGCACCGCATCATCGCTCACAGCTCACAGCCGGCTTTTACCTTTATTTTACCGCCTAAAACGCCGGTCATTCGATGGCTCGATCCGTTTCATTTTATATCAAGAGCAAGCTTAGTGCGAGCACAAAATAAGAGTCGATTTTAATATTCAATTTTTAATTAAAATGATATGTAAAGTGTATTTACGTTTACTTCAAAGTTAAATATTCTGCTACAGTTATGATAGGTGTGTATCCTGTTTCTTCCGTTTATATAATTGCGAAAAATGGAATGAATATAGAAATATACACGAAGATTTTTTGTAAATAATGGTTTAATATTTGCAATTTATCATTTAAAATAAAATTAGATTTTGTGTGTGTGTGTGTGTGTGTGTGTCAAATTTATAATTGATTACTTCTAAAAAAATATCTATACAAATATTTGCATATACGTAAATTTAAATTTATCCAAGATAAGATTTAAAGCTGCAATGTATATTATTATACAATGTTATTAATATTTTTCACAGTATTTTATATTAAATATGATTACTGTACAATGGTATATCTAAATCATAAATCTCTTATATTTTGTTGTTATTATTATTATGATTATTGTTACAAATATTTTAAAGATAAAGGATATTACATATAATTTTACATACATGCAATTAATAATTAAATAACTGCATTTAACTGTAAAAAAAAATGATCGCTCAATTCATTTGTACTTAAATCATCCATATCATCATTGCTTTCATCGAAAATATCTTGAACAGTGCCTGTTACAGTTTCTGTACCATCCATTACGCTTCCTACACAAAACGTTGTATGCTCTGTATGATTATTTGTATTGACTTCCACATCATTTTCCATATGCTGAGTATCATTCTCTTCATCTGTATTTAAATAAATCGTTTCTTGAATTTTGTTGTTACTTTTACTGGTATCTGAAATACCATTATTCGGGAGAGCTTGCAAAACCGATAATGTTGGAAGTGGAAATCCATAATTTAACAACTTTTTGTATCCATTCGTACCACAAATTTCTTTAATATCCACTGCCATTGTTAGAATTTTTTCAGAATAGTTTTCCTTCGTACAGTCTACCATTATATCGTAAAATTCACTCGTACTTCCATCTAAGAGTTTTCTTCTTCTCATAAAAGTTTGCATATTTAACATTTTTCTTCTATATGTATTTGTATTTTTCTCTGCTCGCTCGAGGTATTTTGAAGCCTTATCCAATTTCCAATTGAGTTCTTTTATTTGTTTATCTCTTTGCTTGATTTGATTTTCTAGCTGTCTCTTTTGTTGACTTTCGATAGTTATAGTTTTCATTAACTTTTTATTCATTTCTTCCAAATTACTCATTCTGTGCGATAAATCATAAATCAACTTTTGTCTACTATCCATTTTTTTACAGCTTGTTGAAGATGATGTGCCATCCGTACTTTTATTCAATTCATTCATCTGTTTTTCCATTTTCTTTGTTCTTGCTTTGAGCATTATATTTTTATTTTGCCATTTTTTCTCCAAGTCCTTGAGCAAAATAAGTTGATTAGTTAATTGCCCAATAATAGTCTCTTGTAGTTTCACTTTTTGTTGTAATTTCTCATATTCACATTTATTAGCATTATCCGTCGTTGGTTGTTCGATAATGCTATTAATTGTGTTATTCACTTCTGGATCCTTCTCTTCATCCATATTCGATGACGGTAATTTTGTAGTTAGACATTCATCATTTTGTAAACTTGACAAAGCATCTGACATTTGATCATTGTTTCGTGACGCAATACTTGTAATACATGGTGAAAAAATATCATTGCATTTATTTATAGAATTTGTTTCTAATGGATAATCATTTATTGTAATGATAGAAGTAACAGACGCATTATTTTCTTGCTGTAAACAAGTATTATTGTGTTCTTGAATAGTAAAATCTTGTGTATCTTTAAATAAATCTTGCATAATATCAACTACATCCTCGCGATCGCCTGTAACTTTGACTGTAAATTTTGTTGTATCTGATACAGCACCGTCTTTATTATATTCTATAGTTTCAGATATATTTAGTTCTTTTGTTGATTCATTTTCTACTTCTACATCCAGTATCATTGTAGAAGTATCACTGTTAAGCATAGAATTTGTATCCTCAAAAGATGTATCTTGAATTGGTGTTTTTATAGATTTCATAATTTCCTTTCGAGTTGTTTCTTCACAGTTTACAGCAGTCCTCGTGTTCGACGCAACGTATAAATTTTCTCTACTGGTAGTGTTTTCTATACATTCAGTTTCAGTGAGCTTTTTATCATTAGTAATATTATCGATATTTGTAGTATGTTGATTCTGTTTATCATTTTCATTAGTTCCATTGTTAGAAAATGTATATCTAGGAACGCGAACAAATTCTTCACTGCTTTCACTACCAAAAATAATCTCGATGTTATCTCTATTGTCAGTAAGCATATCTCCAATTTCATTCCTCGACGAATATTTATAATTTATACTTTTATGAAACAATGGCTGCGTTACCGTATCTTCTAAACTTCCTTTCCAATTCGTAGGAATTGAATTTAGTTCTTCTACATTAGATGTACTCATTTCTTCACGACCATCACAAATTTGCTTTAATTTCTCCTCTATCTCATCATAATCATCATTGAAGATGTCATTTTCTTGTTTCGTTTCTGTTTTTAAATCCTCACTCTTATCAATTGAATTTGTCTTTGCTATAAAATTACTAATAGATGTTTTATTCTCCGTACTTGCTTGCTTTTCAGTATCATTTTCTTTAATATCACATTCTATCTCCATACTATCATCTGAAATTATAATACTTTTTTGTTGAAGATTGTTCGTAATATCTATATAATGTCCATGAGATGCTTGTTGTTTATTTTCTATCTTTTTTGGAAAATAATTTACTTGTTGTACAAGCGATTGTATAGATGATTTATCAATATCCTGTAAATCAGAATCTTTTTCTTCCAAGTGACTGGATGAATGATCAGAATCATTTTCTAAAAATTCCACCATGTAATAGTCTTCATTCTTCATATTAGCTAATTTGATGCGTTTCTTGGCAGATTTCCTGGTTGACGTTACGGTAAAAATAGATGGAACAGCATTCTTTTTTAGTCTGAGTTTACCACTTTGAGTAATAACCCATTCCTGAGGTTCAAAATGTACGTGACAGAGAAATGAATTGTTAGATGGTTCCCAATCGGCTCTAGCAACACGATCCTGCCAAACTTGTCTCAATATTGGATCCCGAGGAAAACATTTCATAATATATCCTTTTTCACTACGATTGTTACAACCAATAGCTGCGCAACCTGGCATTTTTCATCAGTCAAATATAAATAACCTGCAAATTTGGAATAACATCAAAATTATAGCATAACAGCACAGAAAAGAAACAGCATTAGTAATTATACTTCAAGAAACAGCAAGAAAAATACATATTAAATGTATATTATCCTTCCTTTCATCTTTTCCCATGTAAAATGTGAAAATAGATTTCATTGTAAAAACGAAGGAAAGTGTAATTGAAACAGACTTTTAATTGTATACATTTTGACAAATTATTTTTATATACTCTACATGTTATATCGTTTGACGAAATTTAAAAAGAATTTAGAATTCTGTCTTCTTACCTCGATCTCTTCTTTTGCACCGTTAATTTTATTCTCCTTTCAAAGCAAGCATATATATCATGTAATATTTCTCAAAAGGTAACATCGCCCGTAAACATTATTAAAATCGTGAAGAAATTTTTCAATTTGGACGCGCAAATAATGTGTATATTGTCAAGCTTTATCACGAAGTATCTAATGTTTGGTTGGAATTCTACGTGTCGCGTACTGGTCGCGTATATGCATCAATGTGCATACATACGCCGCAACATGGCTGCGCCATTACTCCGTAATTATTTTGTAACCAATAAGATTTTGGGTGCGGTTTATTTCAGTTTATTTAATATTGCCAAATAATTGATATGTATGTAAACGTTAATTATGTATTTCTTCCGTGAGTTCACAAGTTTTAATCAATACTCTCACACTTTTCAAGTTGAAATAATATTATTAAATAGATATATTAGAATAAGAAAGAAGAGATCTATTGACCTAAATCTTCTCAAATAGGTTAAGTTATTTACATACAAATGTAAACATCTAAGATATATTGTAGCAGAAAGATAACACGATGAATAAAAATACTCGTGAAACAACGCCAGGTGATGGCTTGCGATCATTGCGGAGTACTACATTATTTCGTGCCGTTAATTTCGAGTTATATGTTAAGCCGGTAAGATTACAAAAACTGATAAAACATGTTGAAATTGACATTGTCTAATATTGTTATTAATAAATGTCATTTGCAGAACAAAACCATCATGATCCTTGGTATCATAGCAATGTTAAGTTGTTCTGGATATATATTTTATATGAATGCTAATGAAAAGAGGAATGATTATCATATTATGGTTAAATCAGACGAAACTTTGGAATTAGTGAAAAAAGTGTCCAAGTGGACTGATTAAGTAAGAAATCCTTATGAATAATATAAAATATTACATTACTTTGTATAATCGAATAATTTATTTCATTATATTAATATTTGTTACAAGGTATTAATTTATTTAGTAACATTTAGTATTAGATAAATAAAGCATTAAATATTTTTCAACAAAATTAATTTATTTCTAGATTTGAGAAATGAATTTGTGCGTCTAAAGACACATACATAACTTTTCTAAGATACGACTATATACATTAATCTATAATTGTTACAAATCTGCAACATATAAAATCACTGTACAATGAATTTTTTATCGGTAAAATTGTATTATAAATAAAAATAAAAATTTATCGAAATATATTCTATATATATATAATATAAGAGAATATAATAGAATTTTATTGTAAAAGTAAAATATATATCATTATATATAGTATATATCATTATATATAATATATATCATTATATATATTTTATGCGATGGTCATAAAGATTTTATTGATAACAATTATAGGTTAATGTCTCTCTTTTTTTCTCTCTTTATGGTTGGGTTCCACTTAAATGCGCAATACTCGCGACTATCGTTTGTCCTTGTTTAACATTTGATAAACGACAAGGATGAAATGATTCTACGAGGTTTGTAAGCATTAAATGGATATATATATATATATTTATTCATTACATAGTTATATGTATATATTGAGTTGTCCGGAAAGTTCGTGCTGCAAAAGATTTAAATTTAATAAATGTATAAAATTTAAATCTTCTGCGTTTCAATTTTCCTTCAAAATCGGCACGAACTTTCCGGACAACCCAATATAATTTTATACAGATTTTTTATTCTTTTACAAAATATCAACGTTTATAATTTTACATTTTACAATTTTACTGCAAATTGTTATAGTTGGCAATATATTTGATTTTTTTTTTACTTATATGTATCAATTTTCCATGATTATTAAGATTGAATTAATCTTAATTTCTAAATGAAATAGTTACCACAAAAATATATTCACATTAGTTATCGTACATATGTTTGATATATATGTGTAATATTTTTTATATGTTGCTCTTACTATTCAATGTACATTTATCAATATATTTGTGTTTTGATAAAAGTTAATAAGGTACGTATAGTACATATTATATAATGTGTATTTTCTAATGTGTATTTGCGTGTACACATTCTTCTCTACAAGGAAGCCCATTGTGTGTTGGAGAATCAATAGGTATCACTAAATGTAGTTAATTTTATATTCTATAATATCAAACAAATTGTTGATATTTATAATCTAACTTTCCTTTTTGTTTCTTTCAAATATCTATCGTGGTTATGTGTAGTATCATTGACATTACTGTTATGAAGAAAATATCTTCAAATCTAAATATAAAATCAAATATAATAAATTCTTTTATCACGCAGACAATACAATTATTAAATTAGGTCAAAACTATTTTAACACAAAATATTCTTATATTTTCTTGATACTAGACATATATTTTTCTACACAAGCTATCTATATATCTTTATCCTATAGTTTAAATGAAATCACTATATGAAATTATATAGTATTTCTGTTAAAATCTTCAATATCAAACAAGTTGTGGTAATTATTTAGTATAAGGATATACTATCCTCCAATGATCTTGACCTTAACATGTTGTTAAGATTATGCTCCTGAATGATATCGAACAAATTTTAGCTGGTGTTCGTTGTTCCTTGAAAAGTTATTACTAAAAACGTTCAAAAGAATGTGATTTTAAAGCAAAAAAATTTGTGTTTGTAAAGCAAACATTCCTAGAAAAAGAATCAAATATATCATCACACACATCAGTTGATTGGATTAACTTTTGCAGAGAGATAATTCATGTAATTTAATAATTTGGTAAAACTACATAAATGGAGAACAATGTCAATTGTTTGTTAAAGCAGGAAACTTGTGTTTTTGAAGTAAAATATAAGTATTTTTGAAACAGATAACTTGTATATTTATTAAAAAATTCTCTATTTTAATAAATATTCAATTACAACAATCTAGCTTTTCAGCTCATGAATCAATGGTTAACAAACAATCAAAATCAAATTGACGGAGAAGGAATTATTATCAAAATCAATGAGGTAAAATCTGGTCGTTGACAATATCATCGCGAACGTTAAAGAACAATGGCTTTTTGGCGGAATAACACGCAACACAAAGAAAATGTTTGTCGTACTAATTGAATCCGGTGATGCATAAACATTACTACCGCTCACTCGGAAATACATCGTTCTTGGATCAATAATTTATATCGATTGTTGGAAAGTATACGGCCAAATCGATCCAATATATCAACATAAAACAGTGAATTCACATTTTTTTTATCCAGATACAGGCATTCATATTCAAAATATCGAACATCTGTGGAGAGATATTTGCGGAATTATACCTCGATATGATCATGATAAACAATTCCATTTCGTCCATTACCTTGCAGAATTCATGTTCAAAATGCATGTTCAAAAATCGTTTGATATACGCTGATTAGATGCTTTTTTTAACGTAAAAGGTTCCACATATAAGCGTAGAAATTCGGACAAATTCTTTGCTCTAAAAACACAAAAATTATATAAGATATTATATAAAAAAATATTTTGCGCTGTTAAAGCGGGGAATTTGTTTTATTAGAGCGCAGTCATGTCCAAAAATTAGATTTTATTGATGACCTTTTTTTGTTAATAACTTTTTAAGGAACAACAAGCGACGGCTAAAATTTGTCCAAGATCACTCGAAGTCATGACCTTACCAAGGTCAAGATCATTGGAAGATAATCCCCTATAGTAAATAATTAATCGAGTTGTATTTACTTTTCTAGTTATTATTTTGGAGCAGGATTTTTCAACCGATGTGTTGCAAAGGATCTCGAAGTATGCCGAGAAAATTTTAGAAAAGGTAAAAAAAAGATGAAAAATTTAGAAATTAGTAAAGCTAGTAATGAAATAAAAAAATATTTAAAAATTATAAAAATTACTTTAAATTTGTGTAAATGTCATTTTTTTTTCGTTTTAGTTAAAGTGATTGTCTTTACAATAAATCATTTTTTAAACAATAATAAAATAAAAAAATAAAAAATTTAGAACTTTACCTTTCATTGAATGTTGTGCTGGCGATATTTGATAAAGAAACTAACCATTGAATTATGTACACCTAAAACCCTGCGCACAATGGAGGAAATATTAGGAATAGGAATAAGTAATAAGATATTTCAACCTATCAGAAACCGCGTATTCTGGGTAAGCGGTTTCTCATTAAGATTGAAATCTTAATATTTATTAATATTTATTTCTATTCTTAATATTCCCTCCATTATGCAGGATCTAATGTACCTATTTCGACAAATTTGGACTCAATATTTAATAAGCTGCGAATTAAAAAAGATTGAAATACATTGCGTTAGAGCATTTAACGATTTTCATGACATAAGAATTTTCCTAAACTAAGATATATATATATATATATA